CCCCCCCCCCCCCCCCCAACTTTTTTTTCCCCTTTTTCTTTCTTGTAGGAAGGTGATACAAAATGAACCCCTGTAACTCTAGAGAGAAAAGAGGTTAAGGACTTTAACTGACAACCAAACCGTCCTGACTGGAAAGCTGGTTCAATGCAAAAAACCATTTTCGCAATACACCACTAAATGTTTACAACTTATTTTTCAATGAAATTCTGTACTTCCAAAAAAAAACAAATGACAACAAAAAGCAAAAAAAATCACTATATAAAAGTAAACAGTGTAATTTTGCTTTCTGAATATAATAATTTAAATGCCAAGCAATAAGTTTTCCCGAAAATATCAACTTTAATGTAGCGGAAAGTCAAATTTAGATATTCACAAGATGAAAGCATTCCATTGTGTTCTAGATAGCTTGCAACACAAGTCTAAGTTTTTGCATATGATCGCACTAAAAGACACTCACAAGTTCTTAACAATCACAGAATCAGAGAATAGTTTATTTAGGATGGGAATACACCAGATTCAAGGTAAAAATATGATGAGTGACTAAATAACTTGTAATATGAAGTCTCAAATACAGTGCAAATGTATACCAATTGACAATTCTTTGGTGGATAATTGAATTCAGTTCTGCCCACGACTTTTGCTGAAGGAGTGGCGCGCCAAGTGTTTTTGACCAGGAGTTAGATGATCATCCTGCACACACACAAGTCAGGTCAGGTTCCTTGATCCAATATTTTCACAAGGTCTGAATGCAAAGTCGGTCAGAAAGTCATGATGAGAATCAAAATTCAAATACATACCAACACTCTTGTAACATGATGGTCACAAAGCAGATAACTCAGGTAAATTATCCCGAACAAAAAGTGTTACAGAAAAGCTTTACAGAGATGGACTAAAAACCTTGTACATAGATGCAGCTGATTCAGATTCCATGGTTTGGATTGGAATATGTCCAAGAGATTGGAAGGCATCCAAAGCATCTAAAGTCAGCTGCCAACCACAAAGAGCTATAGCACCAGCACTGGAACTGGAGCCACTGGTACTACTACAGCCTGCTGCAGCAACATTTCCATTCACCCAAGGACAGAAATAATTGTGATGCTGAATTGGATCGAACTCAACAGGCTCTTCATAGTTGCTTTCTCCGTTGGGAGGTCCTGAACAACATTCATGTTCAACAAACTACCATAAGGCAGAAAGTACATAGAGCACAATGCTTGAACAATTCCTTTGAATTAAAAGAGACAAAGAGCTGCATCACTCCAGAGGAAGAAATATAAGGCCTATTCATCCTCCTCAAAATGAAAGACACAAATGTTAGACATTTACGGGCATAAACACTGGTGGCTGTGGACAAAGTGACTTGGGCCTAACTGATGAACAATTATTAAAAATGCCATTAGCATTTCCATTTTGAACCTTAAAAGTTTCATGCTTGAGCATGACAGGATTCAATCAAGATCAATAGCCAAAACCAAAACACGGAAATATATCACATACAAAATCCTAGATAAAGCAAATAATGCAACAAGGCGTATCATTCCTAGTATTATTTTTGTGTTATTAAACAGCTCAATATAGTAGCTCAATTCCAATGCATGCAAGTTTGAAAATAAGTAATTTGACTTGATTAGGCATCAAAATAGTTCATTTCATACATAAATAATAGAGCAAAAAACATTGAGCGGAAACAGTTAAGTTTAAAACAATGATACGATCATAACATTAATATAGTGCTGAACTGGAAGGCGATCATCCTAATAGACATCTCAGGGTCAATACGAACATATGATCCAACCTTTTGGGGAACTTTCACCCCCAGGAAGATATGCTCCCAGTAACAAAAGCTGGATATATATGACATGTACAATATAAGAAAACCCCTGTCCCAACCAGACTGATCCTTCCTATTGTAAATGTTTAAAGCAAGATCTAAACGGATTCTAATTAGGACTGACCCAGTGGTAGGTTTCTTTCCCACCTTGCCCACCCCCTACATCTATTGTGACCATAAGAAATAAAACCTAATTGGTTAGTAAGACTCTACTGAAGTCTAAAGACGTTGGCGGTCAACGAAGCACCAAAAGGAAATGGGGAGCGGGAGCAAATTCATGCACACGGAATTTGTAGAATTTTCTTTCGTTGCATGAAGTTCAGAATTGCCCATTATTAACATGAGAATTATAGTCTTCTCTATTATTAGTACTTTGGTTCATTTGAATTAGTGGAAGACGAGAGCAATGCAACTTATTTAACTGCTCTGATGATAACTAAACTTATTTACCAGCACATAAGTGCTTATAAAAAATGCAAAATTTTCTATAATGAATACTGTGACAAGGGATATAAGCCAGATTTAAAAGGGTCCATTGAATGGGTTTTAACCGGGGTAAGGGCAAACAACATCACGAGTGTTTAACCACCGAGATATCAAGAGGAGGAGAAAGAACTAATGTAATTTGACATTTCTAAAACAGGAAAATATATTTCATTATTAACAAATAAAGAAAAGATGCAGAACCAGAGGGAAGAAAAGAAGAGGGAGAGTGGGGAGAGAAAATATTTCAATAGATAGAGAAAGAAGATAGGAGAGAAGAAAATATAGCAGAACGGCTGGCGTAGAAGATTCGTGAAAACTGAAAGGGATAAAAGAAGATAGGAGTGAAGAAAGACCGGATAAGAGGGATCTGGAGAGAAGAAAGACCAGATAAGAGGGAGCTGGCAGGAGAGAGAGAGAGAGAGAGAGAGAGAGATCTTGAAAAATGCCTGATTTTCAATCACCTTTGGGGCTTCCCCGATTAACAGCGACAGGCCTAGTTCTGGCCCTTCAGGGTTTAGACAAAAAATACTTAGGGCCTTCCTGCAACATATCACACAACATAAAGAAAAACTTTGCAAAACCACAGAACTCAAACATAATTGGAACTTGCTAGTTGACAAACTATACTTGGATGGGTCTGGCGCAACTGGGTTGCATTAATCCAGGTTCACATACATGGAAGATAATTCTCAACCATAGCAGAAAAAATATGCCGCATAATTTTCTTTACCATGTTATGCTTCTAAAGAAGGATATGATTCTTCGGAGTCTCGCCACAGGATACAATGTGCAGCAAAACAATGATTAGTACTCTGATGTTTGTCCATAGCTAATGCTGAATGGTATCGAAATGCAAACGACCAATTTCGCATTTTTGTGCTCTAAGGCAATAATATTAATAGATTACAGAGAATCTAAGCGGATAAAATATTGGTTAAGAGACATGGAGATGGCCAACGTTAGATTATCTCATTGATCAAAGTTCATTCAAGAGCATCCCAAAACTCTTCCATCGTTGTGACGCCCTACTCCATAAGATTACACTTCCTCCAAGAATGTCTTTTCATCAACATGGAGGGACCATATAACTTCTACTGAGCATGTTATGTTTGGGACTTCCATGCCCTTTCACCAAATTATCTTTTGTGTGTGTGTGTGTGTGTGTGTGAGTGAGTATGTGTGTGTGAGAGAGAGAGAGAGAGAGATCTTGACCCCCAAAGAGGAAGAATGAACGAAATTACCTATCCCAGTTGCAACCATGAAACCTGACTCAGGGTACCCACAATCATCAGTAGGGGACTTGCCAGCCTGAGTCACTTCTTCCTTGGATGCTTCATAGCCAGAACATAAAATGGCATTGCAAGAAAGAGAAGGACGATTACTGTTCTGGTGGGGTAATATATGCATGTTACTAGTCTTCTCACCACTTTCCACAGATTCTGCCTTAGTTGAACCAACAATTTTTGAGCCACTATCTGCCCTTCCCACAGACCTAGACATCAGATCTTGACTATCACCATGAGGATCCTCTCGATCCATTTCTTCAGGGACAAAATCACCCATTTGCCCAGGATCCGGAGCAAATTCACCAGTTTGACCCTGATTTTCAGTGACTTCAGCAACTGGTTCCACATCACCAACAACACTATCCGTTCTATGAACAGAGACATCAGCCCCGTGGATTTCAGCTTCATGACTAGCGCCCATTCCAACACTTCCCCCACTAATACCAAAGCTGGGCCCATCTCTACCTTGAGCAGTCGTAGTCTCTGTGTTCAGTACTTCCTCACCATCATTTGTGCTGCTAACACCCATGTCACGAGCTATTCTTACTGTAGCTGGACAAGTACTCTGCTGAGCTTGATTACTGGTGTTCAATTCTGATGTGTCATTCAAATCTGGATTTCTAAACAACTCCATGGGGGGGAAGTGGAGATCATCAACATCTCCACGATAATTTTCAACACTTTCCATTGAATCATCGTCTGCGCTGTGACAGATTGTGTCCATTGCAATAACAGAGGAAGCACGTGTTGAATCTCTTGTGGATGGGACACCAATAACTCGTTCATTTCTTTGGTGGAAAAAATCAAATCTTTGTGCATCTGTTTCAATCTCAAAGCCAAATGACTGGCTAGGACCAGCACCAGATGAATCTCTCCTATATGATGAGCGGTAGGCTTCAAAATCATCAGAATCACGAGCACGTTTTGCAGGGCCAGTCGAGTAGTGTTCGCCATCATTGACTTCATCACCATCACGGTCAATGACAGTTCCTTCGATGCTGTCTGCCTGTTGCATCATTGCATGTGGTCTGTCAACAGTGCTTCCACCTTCATCCAAGTTCCGTTTGCGAGTAATCGGACCTCGTGACTCAATTGAGGCTGCACGATCACCAACCTCACTGCTGGAAGGCTGCCCAATTCTTAGATCCCTTCCTATATTTGTATCTGGATATTGTCCAGACATCATATTTCTGTGCAACCGTGGAGAGGATAATCCACCACACATTGTAAGATTTAAATCCACTCCAATATTTGACAGTGACTTCCCCTCATCTGTTGCAGCTTCGTCATGATCCTCAGTCTGCTCTTTTTCCATACCATCAGTTGCAACCCATCCACTGATTCCACTTGCTGCACTCACTCCACGTGTCAATGCCATTTTCTTATTTGTTTCAGGAATATCAATGCTATTGGGAGCAAAGCGAGCAGGACGAGCAACAGTCAGGAAGTCCCAGATTCTGACTGTGGCTCCACATAAGCTACAATCTAACAAGGGCGACCTAGATTCTCCTTTTGCCTTGGGACCAAGTACTTCATTCTTTCCAGAATCTTTTCTGGTTGAAGCAGACACTGCCTTCTTGCTAGGGCCAGGATCTTGCAGATGGCCATAGCCTTTGGTAGGACCAATTGAACACCCATTTCTAGCTGATTGAGCAGAATGTTCTTCACAATCTTGAACATTTGGAAGCCATCTTGGCTCCCATCCACAAAGACTTATCAGCTTATGGGCCTAAAAATGAGAAAAAAAGGAAATGTATAGATAGTAGGGTTGCCAAAGTGATTACACATAACATAAGGTAATAACAGTTCCAGGATATGCAATCTTACACGAGAATATGTAAAGACGACCTCATCTCTGGTGTCGATTCCTAACATAATATCTGACTTTAAGCCAGATTCCCCAACTGTGAAAACCTGTGACTGAACCAGAAAACGGTCAATTTCAAGTCCCCGAGAAACCCGCATCCGCTCAATGGCAGATGCAGCTACAACTGGGAGGGAAAGAAACTGGAGGAGTCCATCACAGCGATCCTTATAACCCCCAATCAGGGCTGATGGTGGAGTAGGAGGAAACTGCACCAAACTTTCTGCACAGCTGTTCCCTCTCCACGGACAAGGGGCTTTGTGCCCTACATCAAGTTGCTTGGCAAAATCTCCCCCAGCACTGTCATCTGCAAATAATAATTAAGACATGAAAATATTGAAGCAGCAATGTCTACCTATCCTCTCGAATTGGGAAAGAAATGAAAAAGTCATTTGCATATAAGGTACAGGCAATGGGAGAAGTTTCAGTAACATCCTTTCAGATATAGATTTTGTATTGAGGAAGCCCTCAGGCCCCTCACCAAGGCTTTTGATGTATGACATTATTGGTTCTGGAGGTAAAACTAAGCCAATATAGCACAACTACTTAGTCAAAACCTGCAATTTATCATTGACTAGAAGGGGCAAGCATGATACACTTGTTCATTATTCCGTTGTATCTCCTGCTGTTTTATAGCTATGGTTCACAATAGTCTCTGACTGTGCCAAGTGGCAAGACATTGGAAGATATATGGTCAGACCATAACTGCTTTCACAGCAAAAATACTTTTGAACAAAGCAAGGGAAGGGCTAACTTGTCATGGACCACAGTTCCATGATATGATGTCTATAATTAAATACATGTACTAATAAGCAAAAAATAGCAATATATCTGGTCATATATAAATTTAGTTTGCTTCCAGTAAACCACAGTAGTTGTTTAATTCACATCTCGACTTGATTCTATCAATTGTTTCCATGAAATTTTCCACAGTTTTGCTTGTAGAAACACCTTTCATAATCATTTTTTACTCTTCTCCCAAAATGATTCACTATCATACTGCCATTTGCTGTCTCCATTCTATAAGAACCTCAAATTTCTTTTCCAAGATGCAAACTACGATTTCAAGCATCCCAAAAATTTTAAAAGATGTAAACTAAATCTTAAACCTGTAAATTACACTTCATATTACTCAAAGACATTTAGAGACACACCAAAAGGATTGCAGGATTAGTAAATATAAAACGTCAATAAAAAAAATCCAAAAATATTAAATACTTTTGTCAAGCCTACAAATAAGGAAAGAAAATGGCAAACGCTACATAAACAGGACTAGAATCTAAAGTTATGCCTCGCAAAGAAATTTGGAGCAAATTCACCTTCTATAGGCATCCAGGTAGCTGATGAAACATATTTCACGTCTGCACCGCAAGACTCGCACTCAATCTTATCAACATCCACATTCACCCAACCTCTTCTAGCACAGGCCAGTGAACTAGCAGCCTACATAGAATATGAATGCCAAAGGAACATAGCTTTAAGTGGCGAAACCCCAAACCTGAAAAACTTGATAAGCACCTTCTCTAGCACAATAGGAAGGATATTGGGAAAGCAACAACTAAAAAGAAACAATAGAAAATAAGTGTCAAATCGGAGCATCTACAACTAAATGGAAGTTTATATGTCCATATTAATAGTTAGGGCATTTTTAAGAGTCACACAAGCCAGATTCAGCCGGCCAGATTTTATTTTAGCCGGAATTTCTTAGGGGTCAACTTATTAGCATCTAGCCCGACTTTTAGCTCCCCAGACAGCACCACATGAAAAAGAAACAAAGAAAATTACAAAAACACATATAAATGTTGTATTCTTATCTTTTTTTTTTTGGTCGACAAATAGTCAATGCAAGTCTAACAAGCTGAATCTATGTATGAAACATTTCATCAGTGAAACTGACTCAGTTTCAAACCTTAGGCTTTCCAAACCAATTTGAAGGCTTGAATGTAGAAAGCCGCCTCAGTAAATCGCCCCTTTCCCATGGTCTACACGAAGGCTGTGATGACCCCAGAGCAGAACCACCAGCACTTGTGCTCAAAGAAGTCCACAGGGGCTGTGAACCAACCCGAGAAAGTGAACCTGCCTTGGAACCCTGCCCATGACCCAACCAGTCTATACTGCCAGCATTTCCGGGAACAGCAGGAGATGATGCCCCTGCAGAACTGATAGAAACGAAAAGGAAATTCAGAGCAGCTTAATACTCAGAGATAAATTGTATGCATTGGAAATGGGGGAAAACCTTGCCACTTCACTGCATCCTGACCGTTCAATCCTAAACAGAGATACACTAACTAATAATTCGACTCCTCAAGACTTCACCTTTTTTTTTTTCAATTTGTGTCTGATTTAATACCCATTTATGATGGCAGGTTATCATGTGTGTAAATACTAGACACCCACTAACAGGTATTTTAACGTAAAACAGATAAAAAAAAAAAGTGAACCCCCTCATTTGCAAGGCAATTTTCATGTTTCTGATACCCTGCTATTTTTTGTTTTCATTCTAGTTAGTTCTTTTGAAAATCATAATTTTATTTAACTCCACAGTATGGGAAGTGATGGAGTGGCCAAGCTGCAAGATTCTTCACTGGATTGGACCAAAGTGAAAGGAGATTTTATACAGTGCAATAAACTACTACTTTTGATAGAGTGGAAACCCCTTTCTGTTTTCCAGTGAACAAGGAGAAAAGCGACTAGAATAACAACGAACATTGAAAATTTTACTAGTTGGGAATGAAATAGCAGGAGGATTACATACATGATATCATCAAACTCTATCATGTTACAACATCATATAAAATGAAAATATATCATCGTATAAGAGAATTTTTCCAGTCCACATGTCTCACAAAGTGTATATCAGGAATCCTAAACTATTGTATGAGCCTAGGCGGCCCCTTTAACAATTCCCAATTGGAGTTTTTGTGTGTGTGTGTGTGTGTGTTGGGTGGAGTTAGGGGCACTTGGATACCTGCTGGGTTCATATCATATATCAAAATCTAAACTTTTAAATCAAGGAATTCTCAATCAAAATCATTTTCTAAAATGAAACCCAACACGCTGCCCAGGGGAAATAGAGAAGAGAAATAACAGAACAAATCCCCCAATCTCCTCCCATAATATCGTTACAAATTATTCATTCCACTTCCATTTCTTTTCTACAACCTCAAATTAAAGAAAAAAAAATACACTTCAAGTAAACTTCGACATTTCACACGTTTCTAAAACTCAAACTACCATCTATATGAGTATCTCAACTTTCTCGGCAACCAAACAGAACACAGTCCTCGTATTGATAACTCAACGAAGATGAAACATCAAATCAAAAACAGCAATTCAAGGAACATACAAAACCCAGTACTATGTTCCAACAGATGTATGAGTTATATACAGAAGCATGAACATGAATGTATACAAGATGAACCACAAAATTGTGCCCTAGGGTTGTGGGAGGGTCGTACCTAGCAGCAGGAGTAGGAGAAGATGATTTTGGGGCCAGTAACGGATCTCTGGAGGAGCTTATAGCTTCTTCTTTCATGTTTTCTCTCTCTTCTCCCCTTTCTCCACCTCTCTCTCTCTCTCTCTCTGCCCGCTGGTCTTCGACTTCGAGCTCTGTCGTTTAACTGGAGACCCTATTCCGCACCCCAATTGTGCTTCGTAGGAGGCCGAGGCACGTGCATTATGCGTGGCAACCACCTGTCTTTCTCGCTTTTGCACTATGCGTGGCACGTGCATTATACTTTTTAGTCCCCAAAATATGTATTTAATGTCTATTTGGTCCCAATCTTCTAATTTTATGTATTTGATCCCTAAGGTTCTTAGTTTGTATTTACGTGGTCCAATCCAAATGTCCATTAAAAAATTGTTAACGGTTCTAGTTACACGCTAATCACGTGATTCCCAATTTTGTGTTTATTTAGTCTCATGTGATTGGCGCCTGATTAGAGTCATTAACGATTTTTTTTTTTTTACAGACGTTTAAGATTAGGCCACATATATATAAATTAAAAAACTTAAAAACCAAATAGACACAATGAGAATATTAGAGACCAAATAAACACTATATGCATATTTTGAGGATCAAAAATGTATTTTACCCAATAGATAATATCCATTGTTTTTGTTTTCTTTTTTGTAAAAATCATAGTTGGTTCTTGATCTAGAATTCAGTTTTAATTTGATTATTAAACCTTTAATTGTCTCGATTTAATTCTTTAACTATTAATTTTATCTCAATTAAGTCTTTTTGTTTATTTTAACAATTAGATCAAAGCTAAAATGAAACATATTTGGTTAGTCTAGTTGATCTAACGATAAAAATTAATTAAGAACATAAATAAGATGAAATTGATAATTATATGACTAAATTGGAAAATTTGAAAGTTGAGAGAGAAACCAAAGATAAAGTTCAGGGACTGATTTTTACCTTTTCTTTTTTAAGGGATTATTAACTTATTTTTAATTGGTTATTCCATTTTAACTTCAAAGCCAGTACATAAAAGAAGCCTTCAAATTAATAACCTCTGTATATTGGTTCTCCATCTCAATGTCATGCTTATTTTCATTAAATAAGTTTTATAGTTTAAAAGGGACTTTATTTAAAAGTAATTTTCTAAATTATTTGAAACAAGTTTCCATGGTTTTATTAAATCTTCCACTTCTATAATAATCTATTATAGGTTATCACCAGATCGTATTATTTTCATTCAAATAATATTTTTTGGGTTAATTGTAGTCATTTTTGTATCAAACTTTTAGTACAACACAATCGTTTATTTCTTAATTGTTAATTATTCTAACTTGTTTCAATTGTTATTCTAACTATTTTTACGTTTTATTTGTAGGACAAAAATTGAATATACGATCTTTTGTTATTTTAAGTAAAATGTTTTATACTTGTCAACCAAACCATTAGATTTTTTCGAGCCTAAATGCTATACAAACATGGGAGATGTTGAATGTTTGAAATATTTTAAAAAATAGGCTTTTAGAAGTTGTGGCTTCTCTTAAGCACCTTAAAAAAGAAGAAGAAGAAGAAGAAGGGATATCCCTTCACTTGGTGGAATGGTTGTGCTCATCCGTATTTTGTTAAGGTCAGGTTGGATAGAGTGATGGCCTTATCTTCTTGGTCCTCTATGTTTCCCAATTTTTCAAATGATCATATCTTTACAACAGATTCAGATCATAACCAATTATTATTCAAAGATACACAGGTTTTTGGAGAGGACTGTCCAAGGAGAAAACAATTCAGATTTGAGGCAATATGGGTAGACGATCCTACCTGTATGGATGTGATTCGTAATACTTGGCAGTCGAGGCGATCAGAATCAAGTGAGCAACATTTTATTAATAATGTTCATCATTATCTGAGTTGGTTTGTTGAAATGGACGAAAGGGAATTTTGGTAAATATGTTCCATAGATTGCAAGAGAGCAGGGAACGTTTGACTAAATTAAATTGTGGGATTATTACTGAAGAACGAAGGGAGGAGTTGACAGATATACACCACCAGGTTCATACGCTTCTAGAGGAAGAGGAAACAATGTGGAAACAATTTATGGCTTATGGAGGGGGACAGGGATACAAAAAATTTTCATGCCCAAGCCGATAACCAAAAGTAGAGAAACATGATCAGGGGGCTTATGGACAAGGATGACCAATGGACTACTGGCAAACAACAGATTGAGAATTTAGCTGTGGATTATTTTTAGAACCTTTTCTCTTCTGATGTTCCTTCTACTTAGAGTATCGAGCAGATTCTACTATGGGTTGAGCAAAAGGTTACTACCCAAATGAATAATGACTTGCTCAAGGAATTTAACAGGGAGGAAGTGTCACATGCTCTAAACCAAATGCATCCAAACAAGGCCCCAATAGCCTTGGGGTGGGATTTTTCCAAAGATATTGGAGTATTGTGGGGTGTGTCGTAACAAATGTGGTTTTGAATTTCCTTAATTCAGATAGTTCATGCCCTAGACTTAATTACACTCATATTGTATAAATCCCTAAGGTACAAAATCCTAAGAATATGTCATAATTTCGTTCTATTAGTCTTTGTAATGTGGTGTATAAATTGATTGCAGAAGTCCTAGCAAATAGGTTGAAGAAGGTTCTGCCAAATATCATCTCATAATTTCAGACTGCTTTTGTACCTGGTTGACTCATTATAGACAATGTACTGATTGCATATGAGTTAAACTACTAGATTAAGCAAAAGAGATGTCGGAGGAGAGCATATATGTCACTGAAGCTAGACATGAGAAAGGCTTATGATAGAGTAAAGTGGAGATTTCTTTAAGCTGTTATGGGCAAGCTAGGATTTGATTCCAAATGAATCAAAATTCTGATGAGATGTGTTCAATTTGTATCTTACTCTTTTATTATAAATGGTGAAAAATAGGGTTTTATTAGGCCTACAAGAGGTTTAAGACAAGGAGACACTTTTTCTCCTTACTTTATTCCTCTTATGTTGTAAAGGTTTGTCTTGTTTGTTGAAATCTAGAGAAGATTCAGGTACATTACAAGGGATGTCTGCTAATAGTTTGGGTCCATCATTCTCTCATATCTTTTTTGCAGATGATAGCCTCCTATTCGCTCGAGCCACAAAAGAAAATTGTGAGGTTTAAAAGACTACCTTCAACTTTATAAAAATGCTTTAGGGCAGGTGATTAATTACTCTAAATCGGCGTTGGTCGTTAGCAGGAATGCACAACCAAAAGTGAGGCAAGAGTTATCTTATATATTTGGAATTTAGATAGTTGATGGCCATGATAAGTACCTTGGCTTTCCTTCTATTGTGGGGAGAACAAAGAAGGCCATCTTTGATGTGATTTGTGAAAGAGTTTGACAGATTGTGCCAGGTTGGCAAGAGAAGATGTTGTCCAAAGCAGGGAAAGAGATCCTAATTAAATCAGTTGTCCAAGCTATACCGTCTTATGCTATGTCATGCTTTAAACTTCCTTTGTCTTTATGTAATGAGTTAAATAGCTTAATGTACAAGTTTTTGTGGGGTGACAATGATTCTACTAGTAAGATTCACTAGATGAGTTTAGACAAGCTGTGCAGACCGAATTCTAAAAGGGGAATGGGGTTCAGAAAACATTGAAGCTTTTAATCAAGCTCTCCTTGCCAAGCAATTCTGGAGACTGTTCCATAATCCCTCCTCATTGATTAACCAAGTTTTTAAAGAAAATTATTTTCCTAGATCTTTTGTTCTAGATGCTCAATGGAAAACAACCCGTCTTTTACTCGGTGGAGTATTTTTGTTACAAAGAAATATATAGTTTCTGGTCTTCGATGTAGAGTGGAGAATGGAATGGATATTCGAATAAAAGATGATAACTAGATTCCTAGGCCCAATTCGTTCAAAGCTCTAAGTCCATTGCTAGAGATAGAGGATGATATCAGGGCAAACACTTTGATTGATCCTACTACTAAAAGCTGTAACATTGAAATGCTCCAAAGTCTTTTTCTAACTTTCAAGGTCAATGATATTCTGTCCATACTAGTCTGCCAAGATCTCCCTTTACACTGTTAAGTATGGCATTTCTCTAAATCAAGGTTGTTTACAGTTCAAAGTGCTTATCACTTGATAATGGAGAATCTACACAATGGAGAGCCTAGTAGTAGTGAGAATAAGTGGAGTGGAAAATTTATTTGGGCGTTAAATGTCCCCAATAAAATTAAGCATTTTATTTGGAGGGTATTTCAAGATGTTATGCCAATCAATTGCAACTTACATAGGAGAAGGATTCCAGTTGAAACTCAATGTCATCTTTGTGGTTTCATAAGGAAACATTGGCTCACCTGTTCATGGAGTGTCATTTCTCTTTGGAGGTGTAGAATGGTTCGAGTATTAAACTTTCAGTGTTGTTGGCTTACTCAGTCCAAGAATGGCTAATAAATGTTATAGAAAGTGTGCCTATTAGTGATGTAGGTTTGGTCATAATGTTAACCTGGTTGATTTGGTAAAACACGAATAAGGGTCGTCTTGAAAAAGAAGTCCAACACCCAGGAAACATTCTAGATTTCGCTACTTCTTATCATCATCATTTTTTGGATGCCCAAGCACATAAGAAGACACATTTGATCCAACAAATTTAGTCTGATAGTTGTTCTTGGATTGTGCCACCTCTAGGCACTATCAAGATTAGTTTTGATGGTGCTACATGTAAGGATTCCAACTCCTCTGGTATTGGAGTAGTTATTAGAGACTGTAATAGTTCTTTTGTTGTTGGTTTTGTGTCAACATGTTGTAAACTCGATGATTGTTGTACATGTGGAGGCTAGGGTTGCCTTATCTGGATTTAAATTCGCAATGGAATTAAGATATGAAAGAGTTATGCTTGAAGGAGACTCAAAAATAGTTTTGGATGCCATCAGTAAGTGGAAACCTAATTTTACTTACATTGACACATTTGTGGAGCAAATCCAACTTCATGTGTCTAAATTGTTAGAATTCCTTGTGAGGTGGACACGCAGCTCTGACAACAATGCTGCTGATTTCCTAGCTAAACATGCTTTGCAATGTACTGACTCTATTAGTTGGAGGAGAGATTGTCTTGAGTTCTTGTATCCCCTCCTTCAACAATATAGACTGCTTATTTGATAAAATATAATATTACCATTTCGTATCAAAAAAAAAAAACAACATATAAAATTTACCTTTAATAAATTTAATATGTCAAATAAGTAGAGCACCAAAAGTAATTTATACTTTCATAAGAAATTTAAAACACTTATATACAAAAACACTTCTCATTTTATATTTAAACATTGCCACCCCTTTTCGCCATCTCCACCACCATCACAATCACCACCACGACCCACCAATATTGGCTCCATTAATCATCATCACCGTCACCACCTATCATTATTAGGCAGCATCAACTATCATAAAACACCATCACCGGTGGCGAATTCACACTAGGGGTAGTGGGGGTAATTGTTGCTAGTGCAAATTTAAATTTTTTTTTGGGTAATTTTGAAATGTTTATAAATTTATAATTTTTAAAATTTGCCCCCCATTAAAAATTTGGACAAATTTATCACTACTGCTATATTTAAATAATACTTTTGGATCTAAAAATATAGACAAATTACTGACCTAATAATGTGCTAAGTGGTGTGATCTCAAAAAATAAATCAAAGAGTTTTAATTAAAATAATATTATTTTAACATCTCCACTAGGACATCATTAAATTAACAATTTATGATAGATTTTTAAACTCCAATAACACCATCCCTTATTAGTAAAAAATTAGATTATTTCATAAATAAAAATTTTAGACTTACGTTTCTTTCATATTATTCAGAGTCATCACTTTTATTTCTAATTCTCTATTTTCCTTACATACCAAGTCATTAATTATTTTTACTAAAAATTTATTTGTGAAATTGTGACGAGTTTGAAGATTATCATTTATTTGATTATTCTTTTTAATTTTTTCTCACAATAAATGTTCTCTCAATAACTGAGTTCTTAATTTTTTATTTTCTTGAAAATTAGTTTTTGTTATTTGAAATTTAATTAGAATAAATTATATTTCATAATAAATTATCTAGATTAATTTATTTTCATTTTGATTTTTGCCCCCACGACAAAAAACATTCTTGCTCCTCTTATAACCACCAAATCTCTCGCCACAATCATGATAACCCTCTATTGCCCACCGCCACTATCATCATTGTATATGTGTGTTTGGGTGGGTGTGCATTCATATTTTAATACGTCTTTAGTCTAAGTAGTGTTTATGTAATAAAAATTTGTTTTTTTTTTTTTTGTGAATAATTAATACTATTTTTTTTTATCTACAAAAATACCCCAAGTATAAGCATAATAAGCAACAATGATGGAATACAATGGTTTTTTTTTTTTTGCCGGTTTAAAAATAGATGGAAACAAAGAAAAATGCTTAAATACTGCCTCTAATAAATTTTTATTGGTGAGATCATGAAATCTGACCGTGTCTATTACTATTTTCAGAAATGAACCTAAATAGACTAACATAACGATTAACTGTCTCACTTCAATATAAACTCAAAATCGGTCGGTAGCCACTGGACCAGAATTGAACACAATGTTATATTGAGCACAAACCGCCACAAATAAGTCGACCTGTGGACACCATAGAAGGAAGGGGAGTAAAAGGAAACAAAAGGATGACAAAAATAACGAAACCTTATCAATAAAACATGTTATTATTTGATAGGCATAGAAATAGCCACACAAGCCCCTACAGGCTTCTCACAGTCTTGGGTCCATCCCCCAGCGAACTGCTCTACAACCACACGGTGTTTTTAACTTCCTTTTCATCTCTCTCTCTCCACAGTACTAAAACCACATAGATTCGTTGAAGCTGCATATACCCTTTTGGAAGAACAAACAGAATCTCAAATTCCCAGAGGTAATATTTTTTCTATTCTGAATTTTGGGTCATATATATTTCTGCAATTCATGGGAATTTCCCAGCTTGTTAAATTATTGAGAATTCCGTTGTACAGAGAAATTGGTATTTCTTGAATTGGTCATATATGACAAGTATTTGTTTGTTGGGTTTCTGTCTAATTTCAATGTTGATATAATTATAGGAAGAGAGTGGGGATAGAGTGTGTCTGTGTGTGGAGACTGGTGGTATAATGCAAGTATTCTTAGCTGATTGCTACATTAAAGTTTAGGTTTTGAAGTATTGCTTTATTGGGTTTCTAATGATGGTGGATAACATTTGAGTGTATGCTATTTATGGCTTCCTTGGCTTCCCTGGTGAGTTTGGGAAGCGTGAATATGATTTCTACCGGTCATTTTGATGGACCCAATTCTTTTGTCCGGAGAGTTTATGTTGCGAAAAATGGAAGTAGTTTTCACAAATTTTGGAGTGGGAAGAGGTGGAGGTATGTGGGGGTGTGTAGATATTCAGTGGCAACTGATTACATTACAGAACAAGGGACTTCGGTTTCCCTTGATTCAACAAATAGGGGAGACAAAGNACTGCCTCTAATAAATTTTTATTGGTGAGATCATGAAATCTGACCGTGTCTATTACTATTTTCAGAAATGAACCTAAATAGACTAACATAACGATTAACTGTCTCACTTCAATATAAACTCAAAATCGGTCGGTAGCCACTGGACCAGAATTGAACACAATGTTATATTGAGCACAAACCGCCACAAATAAGTCGACCTGTGGACACCATAGAAGGAAGGGGAGTAAAAGGAAACAAAAGGATGACAAAAATAACGAAACCTTATCAATAAAACATGTTATTATTTGATAGGCATAGAAATAGCCACACAAGCCCCTACAGGCTTCTCACAGTCTTGGGTCCATCCCCCAGCGAACTGCTCTACAACCACACGGTGTTTTTAACTTCCTTTTCATCTCTCTCTCTCCACAGTACTAAAACCACATAGATTCGTTGAAGCTGCATATACCCTTTTGGAAGAACAAACAGAATCTCAAATTCCCAGAGGTAATATTTTTTCTATTCTGAATTTTGGGTCATATATATTTCTGCAATTCATGGGAATTTCCCAGCTTGTTAAATTATTGAGAATTCCGTTGTACAGAGAAATTGGTATTTCTTGAATTGGTCATATATGACAAGTATTTGTTTGTTGGGTTTCTGTCTAATTTCAATGTTGATATAATTATAGGAAGAGAGTGGGGATAGAGTGTGTCTGTGTGTGGAGACTGGTGGTATAATGCAAGTATTCTTAGCTGATTGCTACATTAAAGTTTAGGTTTTGAAGTATTGCTTTATTGGGTTTCTAATGATGGTGGATAACATTTGAGTGTATGCTATTTATGGCTTCCTTGGCTTCCCTGGTGAGTTTGGGAAGCGTGAATATGATTTCTACCGGTCATTTTGATGGACCCAATTCTTTTGTCCGGAGAGTTTATGTTGCGAAAAATGGAAGTAGTTTTCACAAATTTTGGAGTGGGAAGAGGTGGAGGTATGTGGGGGTGTGTAGATATTCAGTGGCAACTGATTACATTACAGAACAAGGGACTTCGGTTTCCCTTGATTCAACAAATAGGGGAGACAAAGACACTGACGCTGGCCTTGTTCTCAAAGCAGCTCCAAAGCCAGTAATTAAATCCGTGTCTAAGGTTGAGCCTTGTTTGAATATGCCATGGGACGCAGCAAAACTTGGTGGGGATTCTGCTGATGAAAAGGTGAATGATGGTGACGAAGAGAGAAACAAGGTGATCGAGTCATTGGGAGAGGTATTGGAAAAGGCGGAGAGGCTAGAAAGCGGTGAGAAGGCAAGTGTGTCAATTAAAAAAACACTACCCAATCCGAGTATTGACCAAAGGAATGGTAAACCAGTTAATTCAGCTGCCAGTAAGAAGGCTAAGACTTTGAAGAGTGTGTGGCGGAAGGGGAACCCTGTTGCTACTGTACAAAAAGTTGTTAAGGAATCTCCTAAGATTGAGAAGGTCATGAAAGAGGGACCAAGAACAGCGGAAATTGGGAAGGTTGAATCTCAAACCGTTGCTCCTCTAAGAACCCCTCAGCCACCTCAGCGAGTTCAGCCAAAGTTGCAAGCAAAACCTTCTGTAGCTCCTCCTCCACCTGTGATCAAGAAGCCTGTTATTTTGAAGGATGTTGGGGCAGCTCCAAAGTTTCCTGGTACTGATGGAACTGCCTCGGCTGCAAAGACAAAAGATCGCAAGACAATATTGGTCGACAAGTTTGCAACTAAGAAACCAGTGGTTGATCCTCTGATTGCTCAAGCTGTTTTGGCTCCTCCAAAACCGGGAAAGATCCCTGCACCCGGGAAGTTCAAAGATGAATTTCGTAAGAGGAGTGGTCCATCTGGAGGATCACGTAGGCGTATGGTTAATGATGTTGAGATTCCTGATGAGGAGGCATCAGAACTCAATGTTTCTATTCCTGGTGCTTCTACGGCAAGGAAGGGGAGAAAATGGAGTAAGGCAAGTCGTAAGGCAGCTAGACTCCAGGCAGCTAAAGAGGCTGCACCGGTCAAAGTAGATATTTTGGAGGTAGGTCAAGAAGGTATGTTGACAGAGGAGTTAGCCTACAACTTGGCTAGCAGTGAAGGTGAAATCCTTGGATATTTATACTCGAAGGGGATTAAGCCTGATGGGGTGCAAAAGCTGAGCAAAGACATGGTGAAAATGATATGCAAGGAGTATGAGGTGGAAGTCATTGATGCAGCTGCTGTTAGGGTGGAGGAAATGGCGAAAAAGAAGGAATTTCTTGTTGAAGAGGATTTGGACAAGTTAGAAGACAGGCCTCCTATCCTTACCATTATGGGTCATGTTGATCATGGAAAGGTAAGGAAAAAGATAACTCTATTTTTTTATTTTAATTAAATACAGTGTTCCTTTCACATGAATCACTCTGTTGTGAAGTCAATGACATATAAAGATCCTATAGCAAGCTTTTGCTAACATATTTCTGTTGTTGTCTACTTGGCAGACAACCCTTTTGGATTATATTAGGAGGAGCAAGGTATGTTTGTGTGGAAGCTTAATTATGGTGGCTTCTTTTCAGTTTATTTGCTATTTTCATTCAGTTTTATACTTCTTCATTTGTTAAATGATACCACGACTCTTCACAGAAAAGGTTGCATCCTGAGAACATGCATACTACTTGGCATTGGGTTTAATTGGGAATTGAATCCTGACTGCTAGATGTTGTAGGTGGTGGCATCTGAAGCTGGTGGGATAACACAAGGAGTTGGTGCCTATAAGGTTCAGGTGCCTGTTGATGGAAAGATGCAAACATGCGTTTTTCTTGATACTCCAGGGCATGAGGTAGTCTCACTATCTGTGTGTAGTTGTAACTCCAGGTTTCTTTGCTAGAAATTTACCTTCCTCTGGATCTCTTCTATTTGGAATTTTTTTCTTTTCTGGGGATTATTCCCTTGTAGCATCTGAAATCAACCTTTTGTTTTATGGTTTGTTTAAAACTCAGATGTGAACAACAATTTGCTTGCTTTCTTCTTTCTTAAATAATATATATTCGATTATCATGTATCTTTCAGGCATTTGGGGCCATGCGAGCTCGTGGAGCAAGGGTTACAGATATTGCTGTTATTGTAGTGGCTGCTGATGATGGGATCCGTCCTCAAACAAATGAGGCCATAGCTCATGCCAAAGCAGCTGGGGTGCCAATTGTGATAGCCATAAATAAGGTATCTTAAAGATGCTGGCTGTTTGAAGTGTTCATGCTTCATTTTTGCAAATTCTCAGCGTATACCAAAATTTCAGATTGACAAGGAGGAAGCTAATCCAGAGAGAGTCATGCAAGAGCTTTCTTTGATTGGTCTTATGCCAGAGGATTGGGGTGGAGAGATCCCAATGGTCCAGGTGCTTACACATCAACCGAGGATTCATATTTGGAGCTTTCAAAGGTCTTTCTCATTGATGCTTATTTGTTTTTCATATATCCTTTAACAGATCAGCGCTCTAAAAGGGGAAAATGTGGATGATTTGTTGGAAACCATCATGCTTGTTGCAGAGGTAAATTGAATATTCTGCCTGTGTCAGCTTGCTATCATTGGTGCTCTTGGAACATGTACAAACTCTATTATACTGTGCTATATGTTCTAGCTGTTGAAGTAAATTAGTTTTTACCCTTCCTAAGAAAATTTTCTTCCAAATAAGTTATGGGAAAAATATGCAACCTATTTTGCATTGTTTAGGCACCAGTTGGTTAATCTGCAAAGATTTTTCTACAGTTTAACGCATTGGGAGCACTCATTCCCACTGTGTTTTGATGTTAGTGTATGTCAGGGAATGAGTCAAGTTATACTAAATTTGCAAATGTACTGTTTTTTATTTGTGACCTATGGTACCAGTCCATATTTGGTCACCTGAAGCGCATGTAGAGGCCCCTACAGTATCTATTCTAACTTGTTTGTTTTCTGTTTAAGTTGCAAGAGTTGAAGGCTAATCCTCACAGAGATGCAATGGGCACAGTCATTGAGGCAGGTCTTGATAAATCTAAAGGACCTATTGCTACATTCATTGTGCAGAAGGGCACACTGAAACGAGGGGACATAGTAGTTTGTGGTGAAGCCTTTGGGAAGGTTGGTAGATAAGAACTTGAAATGTTGGAATTCGCTCATTGTGTAGTTTTAACTAGGTGATTGATGTTGGTTGTTGAACTGTCTAGTTAGTTTAATACTGTTACCTTTCTCCAAAGAATTCCCATCTTTTACATATGGTCAGGTGCGGGCTTTATTTGATGATGGTGGAAAACGAGTTGATGAAGCTGGCCCCTCAGTACCAGTACAGGTTTGTAATTGACTGCCTTTCGCCTTTTTTTTTCCCTCTCATTTGTCTAGTTTCTTTTATTTTTTGACTAATATCACTGATCTACTTTGAAGCAAGGGGTGGAATGCACAGTACTCTTTCTGTGGCATTTCTTCTCTGTTTGCTATTAAGAATGGCAATGCTATACAACAGAAGTTTCTTATAAGACTTACTATACAAAATGAGGTGGCCACTAGCATTCTTTCATTCCAAAACAAAAGAACCACCAATATCATCGTATTTACAAAAATGCCACTACTGCATTATTGTTCTTAAAATTCTAGTTAAAATCCTTAAACATCTGTTTTTTAATCATTTCCAATTAAGCATTCAAGTTTCAATATTCCCAAGTAGCCCCTCCAAGAAAAAGTTTTAATATCAAGACACTAGAGGGTTGCAGGGCATCCCACGCGATTGTCAGTAGTTTGGTAGTGTTTATTGGCAGAAGGCATGTGATAGATAAGACTTGACTTAAAATTGTTTGAAATGGGTTGCACATTTGCTACTTTTACCAAAGTGTCTTAAGAATTTGCATAAATATTCTGTATAAAAAATGAACTGGCTCAGCTCGGCTCAGTCCCAGCTCACAAAATGAGCCTAAAAATTTGTTCATATGTGGCTCGTTTTATGATATGAGCGAGCTTAGCCAAAAACAAGCCGAGCCCAAGCTACTCTGTTTGTTTAACAACCATACTGGGCGTGCAAAAGTTGCCCGTCCTTGAATCTATATTCGTTGTACCTTATAGACATGGATGAGACTAAGAGCCATATTGGTCATGACAAAATAGATTTAATATATAACTAATTTACATTTCTTCCTGGTAAGTAGTATACTTATGGGTTACATTACAAACTTCAGAATCTGAACAGTTATGGCATCTTAAGACTACAAGTGAGCAAAGCCACACACCAATAGATCTTCTGTTAAATCCTAGGATGCCATGTCTTCAAAATTTTGGTTGCTCTCCTTTACTCATTGTGACTTCAAGGGGGGAAGCTATATCTAGATATTGTGTGAGGGAAAAAAGGGAGGTAAGCCAAGGTTCTTTTGAACAAAGATTAAGTTGGAATCTTTCGGCTGTCTTTAAGAGGTGTGACCTAGAAAGATGACAAATGCTCATCTAGCCAAGTGATACGTCATTGGTGTGACCATTCGAGTTTAGGAATATACTCTGGAAAATGAAGGTAAGTTTTCTTACCGCTTTGGCTTTCTCATTCCCTGATATAAGGTAGAGTATTGTGTATTAAGTACATCCTTTTGATTGTCTTTACACATTGAGTTATTTTTGACCTCAACTTCTCATAATATGTAAACCCATGATAGCACATTCATAACGTTTGAGGGATGGTTCTATTGACCACATATACTAAAATTTATTTGATAATCAATTCAAGCAGTAAATTTGGGTGGATAAATAGTATATTTGGATATATGTGCGTAGACACACACACAATTATTGGAATATACATATTGCTCCGATGTCTCTATAGAGTTAAGCTGAATAGATCGGGGAATCACAAAATACCATGTGTAAAAGGGTTTATATCCTAGATCTGGGTCACCCAAGGTTAGTTTATATGGTTAGGGGAATACTACTCACATTGCTAATTGGTTGAGTTGGATTTTTTAACATGATAACGACATTGGGCCTTTGCTGGTAAATCGGTCAAGTTTTGTACACATTTGAATTTCTCTGTATGTATGTTTGTTGTTGTGTTTGTAAGCCCCATGGGCTAGCCTGGTTCCTGCGTGAAGGAAGTGTGGAATGAGTTTGTGTCCAATACCAAATGATTGGGGTCACCAAGTTAGGTCTATAAAGTTGAGGGGGCTCTCTACTGATTGTCAATTGATTTTGAATTTGATGTTCTAACACGGTGGATGTGAGCTGGGTCAGTAGCATTAGATTTCTTGAAAATATTTGGGGTTTAGGAATGATAGAATTGCTTGAAGGGTATCACTTGAAGTTATAGGAGATGTAGTCTGTCGAAGAAAAGGTATTGGTTAGATTGCAGGCCATTGCTTATTTTGGTCTCCGATAATCGAACAAGCTGGGAGTAGAAGGGGAGATACTATCCTAATTCATGGTGTAGCCCGCATAGAGTCTCTTCATTTTCGAATTTAAACTTGTTTGCTCAATTATTGTAATGGTTTGGTTGTATGGTGAGACATAAGTCCCCTAAAAATGCTCAATTTTCTAGCACAGTTGATATTGCAATGCAGAATCTTGTTTGAATTGGATTAATCATCAATAAAAAATATATTCATTTATCCCCATGTGAGGGTTGACATCTTGATACATCACAGGTTTTTTGGGTTCAGTTTGATTGTTAACATTGTGTTCATTATTTCTTTTTCTTTTCAAAAGATGTCTTTTTGATATAGAAGTCTTTAAGTATTAATCACCTACCCAACTTTTCTAGAAAGAAAAAAGGAAACTGTTGAAGTAATTGAAGTGATATCTGCATTGCCCCATGATCTCGTAAGGTTGACTACCTCCTCTAGAAAAAGTTTCCTCGAGTCATTACTTGTTATCTATGGCAATATTGAGAACACTTTGCCCTGAAATTCTTGTGCTTTGTTGAAGTTTTAAACGTATTTGCTTTGATATGGTACCTATGATTGGTAATTTGCCAAGAGATATGACAGGAACACATCCAGAGCAAACATACTTTTAAGCACCATTTCGGAGGCCATTTGAAATTAAATCCTTCTTAAAGTTGCTTTCTCACGCTCAAGGATCAAAAATTCGTTTCGAAACGTCTGAAACGTTTCCGTTTTCAAGTAAACCAAAATGAATCAGTGATAGATTCAAAATTTCAATACTTCAAGGTGTTTCAAAATGTTTCAAAGTGTTTTGTATTATTTCAATGCATTTATCCTATTGTTTCGAAATATTTCAAGGTATTTCAAGATATTTTAGTATATTTCGACCAATGTTTTAAAAAAATAAGTTTTAAATTTTTTATTTTTTTCATTATGTTTTCGAAATGAGTTAAAATATTTCTGAAACACGTCGAAATGTTTATATTTTCTAGGTGACCGAAACAATGCACCGAAACAAAATTTTGATCTTTGCTTATGGGCCATATTGTTTTTGAACTCGCTCGCTCTCTTTTCAATCTGATAATTTATCACACGACTCTTTGTTCAATAATCAATTTCTAACACCTGCCGCATGCTTGTACAGGTGATAGGACTGAATAATGTTCCATGTGCTGGTGATGAATTTGAGGTTGTTGGCTCCCTCGATGCTGCACGTGAAAAGGCTGAGTTACGGGCAGAGTCATTACGAGATGAACGTATATCAGCCAAGGCTGGGGATGGGAAGGTTACGCTTTCTTCCTTGGCTTCTGCAGTTTCTGCAGGAAAGCATGGGTTAGACTTGCACCAGCTGAATATTATAATGAAAGTTGATGTCCAGGTATGCACATCCATTATACTGTAGCACAGAACTCTAGATAATGCTATCCTGATGATGCTCTTGGAAAGATAGTGTTTAAGGAAGTAGAGTTTTAGATAAGTTAAGAGCTCACTTTGCCTTCTGGGTGAGGTGTTTAATATTACTGTGATTATCTTTTTGTTGATACATACGAAAAGAAAATGCTAGTTGGTCCTAATTTGGGGACCTAAGTCAATGTAACCATTTGATTGGAAGGGGACTCCACTTAACATTGGAACTCATGAATTATCTAATGGCTGTGTTGAATTAGGTCTTTATAGCATTGCTTCATACGAAATCCACTGAAAATGCGAAAAGTGGGATGCAACTTGTGTGTGGGTGACTGGGGTGTATACCAGTGCATAGAATTATAGAAATATGCGCAATAGATTACAATTCTCTTCCTCATCCTTCACCTTCAGCAGCAACACATGAACATCTTGAGTGATCCGAGCACAACCCGTTCAATGGCAAATAAGCCTAACTACATGTGCCGCATTTCATTAGCAATCTCACAATGAAGCATAGACAAACATAAACACACTACTAACAACTGTGTACATACGGGCCAGTCCATACCTTAACATAAGTGGCTCCATGATATGCAGTATGTCATAAACCATAAAAATACATGTCCATTACATATATATCTTATCTAGTGATATGCCACATGAATGCCTTAAAGAACCTGCAAATAGTTACAAACATTGGTATGAGGATTGCAAGGCATGGGAGATGCATGTTCAAGCCTTTCGTAATTGGTTAGAGTCTTCCATGACTTCTTAGAAAAAAATTTTAAAATAAAAATAGGGGATTTGCAATGCCGAAGAAACGAAACCAGCCAAACCTTGTCCAAATTGCTATTGGACTCTGACTCTCAACACTGAACTTATTCTGTTCACAAGCTCTTAAAATGCCACTAAAAGATATAATACATCATTCATAATTTCATATATTATTGTATAAATTAATTCTAACTGACATATAAATTCATTCAAAGTAAGTTCCTTGTAATCCACACTTTCATGTGAAGTTAACTTTACTTAAGTTAGGAATTGTAATCAGTATATTATTTGTGTATTGGATGCTAATTGCTAAGGAATACGTTGATAGCGATTTTTCCAGGTTCTATTGAGGCTGTTGTCTTTCAAGATCATTGAGAATAATAGTCTAATGTAGAAATTACTTTAATATATGGATTTAGTTTGTTAGTGTTAAGTCTCTAAATTTTTGAAACACCTTATGGTCAGCTGCCTGTTGGTGTCTCCCTGCGCACTCAAATGGAGAAAATCATTATTTTTTCCAAATTTCATTTGCACAATTTTTAGTGGTCAAATTTTGAAATAGTATAATATTGTTCTACCAATGACAGTGGTTCAACTGTTCAAAATAGCTGTTTGCTATTATAGGTCCATATGGCCCACAAATTAGTAGGGCAAGCTTTAAATGTGTGAAGATGTAAATCAAGTGAAGATTACCATCTAAACTATTCATTTGCTTTGTTGATGCTTCTGGTCAAAATGTAGCTTTTGACAGCATATCCACTCTTTTTCGTACAATGCAGGGATTACATGCTCAAGTGCATGTGCACACATGCTTGAGCTCTTAGAAACACATGCATGACACATTGACACAAAAATAAACAGCAACCAGTCCCCAAAATCACCCACATTAATGAGGACTAAACTGTTAAAGTACTTTTTGTAGTCGTAAAAATATTTTCTATTATTTGCAAATAAGTTGGAATCTCTTTATTGTGATTAGGGTTCCATTGAAGCAGTCAGACAAGCCCTACAGGTGCTTCCACAAGATAATGTCACTTTGAAGTTCCTCTTGCAAGCAACTGGGGATGTGAACACTAGTGACATTGATCTTGCGGTGGCAAGCAAAGCCATTATTTTTGGATTTAACGTGAGAATACCTGGTCCTGTCAAGAGCTATGCAGAAAACAAAGGAGTTGAGATTCGGCTATACAGAGTTATTTATGATCTTATTGATGATGTCCGGAAGGCAATGGAGGGACTCCTGGAGCTTGTTGAGGTACCATATCCAAATATATTGGGCCGTGATTTTTACTTTTTATTTCTCTTGAAAAGATAGTGTGTAGAATAGCAGCAGGATAGACAAAAAATATGTCCACCCGCATTATATGGGCTTGGGGCTGATACCTGATGATTGTGTGTTTGTCTGTGACAACCAACTACCCTCTGAGTCTTGGGGGTTGGAGATGGACACAGATAACTGTTTGAAATATTCATGAGAGAGAATTCTGGTCTTTGCAGGAACAAGTACCAATTGGTTCAGCAGAAGTTCGTGCAATATTCAGCAGTGGCAGTGGTCGTGTAGCTGGATGCATGGTAACAGAAGGAAAAGTAGTGAAAGATTGCAGCATCCGGGTTTTGAGAAAAGGAAAAACAATCTCCACCGGTATTCTTGATTCTCTGAAGCGGGTTAAGGAGGTTGTGAAAGAGGTATGTTCTCTATGTTCTACTTCTGCCAATTTACTAGTTCTCTGTCCCATATCGTGGCGTACCATGGGCCTATGGTAATCTAGTGCACTAGGCATTGGTACATCTGCGATTCTGCATGATCCGGTGGTCCTTCTTGTTGAGCTTGACAATTTTAGGGCACGTTTGACAATATTTTTGTTTTTATGTTTTTTTTAATAAAAAAAGCAAAACTAGTTTTTGTTTTTCTGTGATAATAAAAATTAAAAAATATAAAACATGTTTGGTAGTCATTTATTTATATTTAAAAAATTATGAAAATAAAAATAAAAAGCATGGTTAACATTTTACCCAAAATCCATGACCCAACACCACCTAAACCCACCACCAATAATCACCCAGCCCCACTGAAAACTCACCCCCAAACCATTTGTAATCCATCACCCACCGCCTTGAAAAACCAACCCCCAAACTCCCTGCAATCCATCACCCACCACCCTCGAATACCCACCGCCACCAACAACCACCCAACACCCCTAAAAAACCACCCCAACACCCCCAAACCCCCAAACCCCCTGAAACCCATCCCCAACACCCTGAAACCCACCCCAACATTTCCACCGAAACCCACCACCAACAACCACTCAAAACCCTCCTCTTGCTGAAGAATGCAGGGCGCACCAACGAGAGAGAGAGAGAGAGAGTGAGGCGAGAGGCACAAAGACGGGAAAAGGGAAAGAGAAAAGGAAATGAAGGGGCTTTTATACTCAAGTAATAAGGGCTCGAAGGTTGGACCTCATTAAAGGTATTCTAGTGCCTCCGCCTATTTTGTTTTTTTGGATATTTTCAAAAACATCATTTTGGATGTTTCCGTATTTTGGTCTTATTTTTAAAACAGAGCAGTAAAAAAAAAAAAACAGAAACAACCCCAAACCATAGTTTTAAAACCCGGCCCGGACGTTAACTCGACAAAGAGACCAAGTCAATGGATCACTGATTTAACCGTGGATTAACCGGTCGAACAGGTCATTTAATAAAAAAATAATAATTATGCTAAAATATTATGATTTTTGTGACAACATGTGAAACTAACTATGATTATGAAACTAACACATCGGAAAAACTCAAGATCCTAAATTGGAATGACATACACATTTGTTATTGTACCGCCAATTTCATGTATCTAATTTGTGGGACAAGCATGTCTCTGTTAGAATCATTAACTGTAGTTGTTGATAAATAAAAACTTAATAAAAAATTAAGAACAACATTACAAAAACAAAGAACATGACAGAATGAGATTTGAAGTTCAATCATGTTGAAATCAGATTTCTATGATCTTCCGGCATATTATTAAGGTCAGATTACTCCGATTGTTTACTTGATGATGCAAATTTGGGGACTGTGAGTGAGAAGCTGAGCTGAATCAAAGAAATAGAGGAAGATGGTGCCATCACTGTCCATGCGAAGCGATCGCGAACGTCGTTGTAGCAGCCCGACTCTTGAATGGACATTGTGATAGTAGGGCAAAATTGTCCAAATATGGGTTTTTATATCAAAGAATGAGACCTGGTTATGGTGACCCATCCGTTTTCACGGGTTAATAAAAAAACCAGCTGGTTTGANCCCCCAAACCCCCTGAAACCCATCCCCAACACCCTGAAACCCACCCCAACATTTCCACCGAAACCCACCACCAACAACCACTCAAAACCCTCCTCTTGCTGAAGAATGCAGGGCGCACCAACGAGAGAGAGAGAGAGAGAGTGAGGCGAGAGGCACAAAGACGGGAAAAGGGAAAGAGAAAAGGAAATGAAGGGGCTTTTATACTCAAGTAATAAGGGCTCGAAGGTTGGACCTCATTAAAGGTATTCTAGTGCCTCCGCCTATTTTGTTTTTTTGGATATTTTCAAAAACATCATTTTGGATGTTTCCGTATTTTGGTCTTATTTTTAAAACAGAGCAGTAAAAAAAAAAAAACAGAAACAACCCCAAACCATAGTTTTAAAACCCGGCCCGGACGTTAACTCGACAAAGAGACCAAGTCAATGGATCACTGATTTAACCGTGGATTAACCGGTCGAACAGGTCATTTAATAAAAAAATAATAATTATGCTAAAATATTATGATTTTTGTGACAACATGTGAAACTAACTATGATTATGAAACTAACACATCGGAAAAACTCAAGATCCTAAATTGGAATGACATACACATTTGTTATTGTACCGCCAATTTCATGTATCTAATTTGTGGGACAAGCATGTCTCTGTTAGAATCATTAACTGTAGTTGTTGATAAATAAAAACTTAATAAAAAATTAAGAACAACATTACAAAAACAAAGAACATGACAGAATGAGATTTGAAGTTCAATCATGTTGAAATCAGATTTCTATGATCTTCCGGCATATTATTAAGGTCAGATTACTCCGATTGTTTACTTGATGATGCAAATTTGGGGACTGTGAGTGAGAAGCTGAGCTGAATCAAAGAAATAGAGGAAGATGGTGCCATCACTGTCCATGCGAAGCGATCGCGAACGTCGTTGTAGCAGCCCGACTCTTGAATGGACATTGTGATAGTAGGGCAAAATTGTCCAAATATGGGTTTTTATATCAAAGAATGAGACCTGGTTATGGTGACCCATCCGTTTTCACGGGTTAATAAAAAAACCAGCTGGTTTGACGGATTAATGAAGGGCTGATTACTTGAACAATCCAATTGTTGAACCGGCCCAGGTATCGGGTCAACCTGTCGGGCTGGGCCGGGTTTTAAAACTTTGCCCCAAACGCCTTTTTGTTTTTGTTTTTTTTTTTCTGCAACAAAAAAAAAAAAACAAAAACAACCGGTTACCAAACGACACCTTAGTTATCTGGTTCTCGAGTTCTTGGACCCTTTTTTCCTTTATGGGAGTTGCTAGGATATTTATGAAAGGACCTAGTTTGTATAGTTTATATAGATTTCTGCAATTGTTTATTATGGTTAAAGCAGACAAATTATGCTTGTTTTTATTTTTTCAAGAAAAGGTTTGGATACGTAAGATTCTCGTATGGTCGCCGCATGGCATTGCATAGCTTCAAATTTGTCTTGTTGAAAGTCCAATGGGAAAACGCTATCCAACAATTTTTATGCCATATGTTAAAGAGTGGGGAATTCTAACGTGTCAAGTGCGTATTGGTCTTTGTTAACATCATAAGATTGAATAGAATATTCGGTTTGCGAGGAGGCTCTTTTGAATGTAGAGGTACCATGCTAAAGAACTGATCAAAGTATAGGAATAAAGATGTACCTGGTTGTATTTGTGATTCTATTAGCTTAGGGTCTATTTTTTGGATAAAGATTTATGTGGTTGTATTTGTACCTTGCTCATGACGTGTTATAATGTGTGATACTGATACATCAAGTGTAACATTTTTAGCCCTTAGATTAGTGAATAGATTAGAAACTTTAGGTGCAGGGAGACCTCATTTGAGATATTAAAGTTTAGATTTTCGAGAAAGGACAGTATAGCACTTGTAAGTGGTTATCCTGATCTAGGATAAGTAGTCTCAAGTGAGGGTCAGAGCTGGAGTGAGAGCAGCAATGCCAAGGGATTCATTTAGTCCAGAGCATTTCTTGACCAAGGGGTTGCAACTGCTTCGCCAATCATTCATGGTTTGAATCTAAGAGAATTCTAAACATATGTATACGAAACGTTTTTGGAGTGTAACTAGAACACCCCCCCCCCCCCCCCCCCCCCCCCCCC